ATATTTGACCGAAAAAATACTTGTTTCTATGTTAGGCTCAAAGCTTTTCAAACTACCCTCGTATATCTTGAAAACTAAACGAATCGCCGATTAATTTATAAGAAAAAGTTGATCACCTCTATGACATATATCAAGATTAAGATCATCAGAGCTGTGTAAATAAATATCATAAAATGTTATTAAAAATTTTTTCTTTTAATTAAATTTATCACCATTAGTCATTATTTGACATTGTAAAGAGGATACAAAAAAAGATACTGAAAAACGATATATCATCCTGGAGGAACGTGGCCGGGATCGAATCCAAGCCTTTCGCATCGCAAGTTTGACACATTACCATTTTACCAATGTAAAACTCCGTCAATTGTTTTTTCGACTCTGATATTTCTGTTGTATACACGATTGAAATAGTTAACAAACGTGCATATACAGACATTTGCGGAAAGGACTATATTTTATTACATTATTACATACATAATTTATTACATAATTTATTCTCTTGTCTATTATCGCAAAACAAATTTATTTTTGATAAATTTCTTTCTCGAAATCGGCCGCTGCAATATGGGACCGATGCGAGACACACATGCACGCACGCCTGCCCGCTCATCCGTACGCACGCACGCACGCACAAAAACGAGGCACGTACATGTGCGCTCGGCATTCGGCCTCGGCACACATTGGACTTGGCAGAAAAGAATAGAAGTATTATTCTACTCTCTCGATGCGCTGTGAGAAGAAAATAAGAATATCGTTGTACTCTAAGAAAATAGAAATATTGTCGTACTCTTTCGCGCGCCATGCACCGTGCGGTCGTCGAGCGTCTTTGACGTTTCCTGGTTACTACTTGTTGAAATCAAGTCAACGATCACGCAGGAAAGTTGAATACAAGAACGAAGAAGGCACTGCAGTACTGGATACACGCCAGTTTATGCACAAATACAGTTTATTACAAACATTCAAAAAATCTCTTCTTACAGAACACAATTTACGTATAGAATTAACACTTGATCAAAATTACGCACAGTAAAGAAATCAGAAAAAACGGGGACGCAAGCAGCGGTTGAAGTAGCGGTCCGAATTGTGCGACGTAGCAACGCGTCCGTGAACTCGATGGCGGAAAAAGACTCATGCGAGCTTGTACCCGCGGTTTTTATATGATCGTCACGCCATTTTCGAAAATTCTTTAGCAGAAAACGATCGACGTGTTCAAAAGGAACGAGGTAAACTCTTCCGGTTCGCTAGATATAATAAACCAATTATGGATAAACAGGTAGATCATGTTTTTGCACTTACTGTCCGCCACCGATTGGATTCACCAGTTGCGTTGTACAGCGCTGATTAGCGCGAAATTACGGGTGGTAATTTGCCATCGATATTTACTTTGTCTCCCGATTAAGAGGACGCCCTTAATGGAAGAAAATACCTCTACATTCTTCTTCTACTTTTATGCGGTTTTCAAACACCGCTCGTTATTGTTGATATATACACATATGAATTAAAAAAAAATAAGCTATAAAAAATAAGATATGAAAATAATGCATGAAGAAATTTGAAAATATCATCATACGTTTCACATATTATACTTATAATAAGCTGTTATATAATTTTATAATATGATTATAATAACTGAAGGGTATAATTAAGAAATTTGCATACATTGATCTGTTAATCTCTGATAAAACAAAAGATCCGATTAAATTGTCGCGGAATATTTCGCCCATATATTTACATTGAATTGTTGTTAATGTCTTTATTGAAGAATGACATAAAGGTTTTCATTAGACCAATAATGGGTATTATGAAAATTATGAAAATTATGAATATTATGAATATTATGAATATTATGAATATTATGAAAATTAACTACTTTATTTCTGGTGAACGCAGCTGTGTCAGTTAATAATACAACTGATAGAAAATGTTGGTTAGCGATAGACATCTGGAGGTGCCAAGTACAAAAAAGAATTCTTAGAGGAAAATTATCCTTTTGAAGTCAGATTCAACAGAATATACATAAAGCTGTTAATCTCGTAATACTTTTCATATCATTGTATATTCAATGTTCTCTTCATTGTTGCTATTCTTCGAGTACTCCCTTCGAGTATTCCCATTATTTTCTTCAATATGATTCAAGATCCATTCTTCACAATTAACAATTCTAACATTAGTTGGTATACCACTATCCGATATCTCATAAACGTTTATCTAATCTTTGAAATATTTTTTGTCTGGTAGACGTCTGTTAGAAAAATGATTTTTGTGTAAATGTCTTGCTTCAACTGAATTACATTCAGTAATCATTAAATCTATGTCATAGCAATACATTAAATGTATGTCTGCCATTTCTTGAATACATCTTATTCACTTAATTACGCATTTCTAATTCTTAACGCAAATAGAAAATTATCGAATATTTCTAGCAAAAAAACAAAGTGAACTGAAGTGAGTAAACTCAATCGACAGAATGTGTGAAATCATGTGAAATCAAGATCAGGAAATATCCAGCATAATGTTTATAAAAACAGAGCAGTGATTTCCTTTTATGAAGGTAAGCAGTAACTTATTTCAGTTTGTTCTTTTACTTGATAGTTTTCTATTCGCGTAGGAGTCAGAAATGCATAATTAAGTGAGTAGATAGTCAATAAGATGTATTCAAATAAAAACATGGCGAACATTAATGTATGGCCTTGCTGAATGTAATTCAACAGAAGCAAGACGTTTATATGCGAATTATTTCCCTAACAGATATTTGCCAAATAAACAAACATTTCAAAGATTATGGAAATACAGAAATGGCTAACTTTGAAACAAGATTGAATAGGACAAATATATGAACTCATATGAACTCTTTTCATTGTTTTTGAGTCCATTTCTGAAGAGAGTCCCGCATGTTACGAAACATTCCGTATATATATTAGGTCTACAAATAAGTTCTGATCCTTTCTTACAAAAAATTGACATTTATTTATATAACATTTATTTATACAAAATCAAAATACTTGTGAGTCTTGAAAATAATCTCAATTACTTTCGATATACTTCTGCTATTTCTCGGGCAGCTGGCGAATCTTTGCTCAGAAAACAATGGTGATTTTGATTCCATAAATTCGGTAATGCAATTTCGCATCTCTTCGGATGTTCGAAAATGCGTGTCGACAAGACGGTGTTGCAGTAAACAAAAGAAGTCATATCTGAAGAATAAGTCACATAAAAAAGAACTTCCCAGCCCAAAGTATCGATAAGTTGTTTGGTTGCTATTGCTGCATGCGATCGTGCGTTATCGTGTAACAGTATTACCTGCCGAGTTCCCTTGTCAATATATAATCATTTTCATCCGATTTCATCACTTAAACGAATTGATCATTTTTGATAACGCTTAGAAATTACAATTTTCTCAGTTTTAGCAACTAAAAGTATAGCACATCTTTTATGTCCCACCAAACGCAATACCTTTTTCGCGTGAATATTCGGCTTTGCAGTATAGGACCCACTTCTCATCACCACGATTTTAAACAGAAAATCTTTCTGTTTAAATCTTGACAGTAGACAAACTGCTGTGTCGTAGCGTCTTGCTTTATTTTCTCGGCTGAGCACAAGGAACCCAATAATAAACTTTTTGAATACTTTTTAGCTTCTGCATCCGATAGGAAATCGTTTGTTGAATGACACCCAGTTGTTCAGCAAGCTTTTTTTGTGTTTGACAAGGAGTTTCTTGCAACTGATTCAATTCCTCGTCTTCAACTTTTTTTGGTGCTACCAAACGATGTTGATCGGAAAGATCGAAATTATTTATTTGAAAATTTCAGTACTATCTTTTAGACACCGCACTTTCAGACACCGCATTTTCCCGCAAAGAGCAAATTATTTCTTTCGCCTCGAGAACACTCTTTTGGTTGCAAAGCGAATAAAAGTGCCTCACATGCCGATGTTATGGACGACATCGTGCTCACTTTTGAAATTTATGAGGTTATGTCATCTAGCAAGGTTTTCATAGATTTTTTTTATGTTAAAAATTGATACTACGAATCCGTAAAGCAACGAGGAAAAGATTCAAATTTAAAATAAAATAAAGAATTAATTCGGAGAAATCAGAACTTACTTGTACACTTAACAATATACCTGACATTTTGCAATGTGCATTTGCGTATGTGTGTGTGTGTGTGTGTGTGTGTGTTGCGCGCGCGCGCGTGTGTGTATAGATATGTACATAGATAGATAGAATATACATATATGTTGTTGTACCCTGGATGGGCTACAACGATAATATTAGAAATAGTCGGGTTCGTTAAGCCTAAGGAGTTGGGACTCCGAGCGGGATCAAAAGAATGGAAGGAAATCTTCTTGAATTCACTAATACACTTTCTTTATTTTAATTGGTTTATTTAATACTGCACAAATTCTTGAGTTTAGTATTTCTTATTTTATTACTTTACACACGGTTAAACGTCGGCGGGCGGCTCGGCGCGTATCGCGTTACTCTGGCAGTCGATGACCGAATATGTCACCTGAGAGACGCTGATAGTACGGCTCGCGTGAACTTCGCTGCGCTCTTGTAATATCTTGCGCGATGTTTATAATAATGATTCCGAACGACACGTTATTCTTTACTTTTGACTCTCCAGCGACTCCGCCTTGTGTAACCGGTTATATAGTCTGATCGATGCCCGATCAGCATTCTGATCGGTTGCGTCGATCGGTTGCGTGATATTGATTAATCAATATTACGCTCGGTTTGATCATCAAATTTAGGAATTTGCTGATAGGCTTTTTCGCAATGTTCTCGCGTGATGCATTTCTGCGGTCTTTCGAAAGACTGGTCGCAATTTCGGCGGTCACACATTTGTGTCGTTTTTCGAAAGACTTTTCGAGATTCATGCGACCTAATTTTGTTGCCATGCGGACTACTTTTATTATTGATTGTTATTTTATTATTGGTTGTAGATCTGGCTACAACAATGTATTTATATATATAAATGTAAATGCAGGAAAATAATTACCCAAATCCTGACCAAGCGAAGCCGCCGAATCCAACTGCTAAGGTTATACATATGACAACACCTGCGGGAGTCGGAATAAAAGCTGTACCAATCATAAAGATAGTTTGGAAGAGAAAGGCTCCGCAATTAAAGATTTTGCGCACTTGTGTTGTAGTCAAGAATTTTCTTGTTCTGAGAAAGTCAGCCAATTGTCCCGAAAATTGGACAACAAGTGTCATCACTAGATATGGAAGTGCTGATAAATAACCTGACTGATCCAGCTTGAAGTCGAGTACATCTGAATGAAATAAATAAGAATATGTATTTGGATTACAATAGAAATACATACCAGTTGAATGTAAATATACAATATTCTAAAAATATTTAACAAAATATCTTACAAGGAAAATATCTTATAGAGAAAAAAAAATATTTCACAGATTTAAAAAAAAATATATTATTAATGAAATTTAAATATCTCCTATATATAACCATTTTTAAAACAGCTCGTACTCATAACTCGACTCATATCAAAATGTCCGCTGAACTTGTACTTAAAACCTTTTAAAATTTATGGTAAGCCATTTTACTTTTTAATAGCACGTATTTTAAATGTACAAAAATAATCCCGCAATAAAAATAAAAAGAGAAATTGTTTAACAGCATTATTATTAAGTCTAGACATAAAGAAATTATTTAAAATTATGTCTTGACAAAAATTTAATTAAAAAAGCATAAGAAAGACAAGGAAAAATATAGTATATTATTTTTATATCGACAAAAATGTAATATATTTTTATTATTCCTCGACGTAATATTTTCTCTCATTTTGTAAGATATTGAAAAATTCAATATAATTTTATAGAAATACATTAAAAATATGCACTATTGAAATATACAAAAGGAGTTTTATTTTTAAATTTTGTAATTTATATTCTGTTATAATTGAAACAGTCCATTTTTATTAAGAAAGTTATTTTAATTAGGATATAATTTATTTTGTGTTACCTTACAAATAATATGAAGTAAATTACTTTAAAGAAATATTTCTATTCAAGAAAAACATTATTTATATCATTTTTAGGAAAAATTTTCGCGCATTAGTTGTTTTCCTTATT